TAGGGGGTGTGCAGGAGGCAGCTGATCGATGTTCTCTCATCAATATTTCTAACTCTCTATCCCTCTATCTTCCTCTCTGTAAAAAATCAATAAAATATGTTTGTTTTTAAAGTAATTTCAATGTGGGGAAGCAAGCTCGGGCAGGAGACAGTGTCCCCGCCGGGCGGGCCAGGGGGGCCGGGGGCCGTCCGCACCAGGCCCAGCACCTGCCCCTGTGTAGGTCCTGTCCCTGAGGCCCGGGTGTCTTCAGGGCCAGAATCTGTGCAGCAGCGCACAGGTGGCTGCAGAGTTTCCCCTGACCGTTAGGGGCAGACACAGGCCCAATGGCTGGGACGGAGGACGGTCCGTGAGCCGCGGTGCCGGACACGCAGCCGTGATGAACCTCAGAACCTCCTGTGGCGTCTGCTAACGGCAGCGGCGACACCCGGCTGCTCTGCCGGCTGCTCTAGCTAGCGCACGCCGCCCTCCCCGGGCCCGTGAGAGATGCACTGCCCTCTCCTCCGCTCAGAGAGGCTGAGCCACCGTCCTGGGCCACACAGCATGTCAGGTACGGAGCCAGAACCCCGACCCAGGGCTGCCTGCCCCCCCCCACACCGGCCCCTCATTCCCCCCTCGCCAGGCGTCATTCTGGCCTTTAGTTGGCACCTCCTTTTGCACCCAGTCCCGGCCCACGGACTTGAGCGCAGGCCTCACTACCTTCTGGCTCTCGCTGCACTCAGCCCCGCCCCTGGCACCCCCACGCCCCCTGCCCCCACCCCCCGCCCCGGCTCCCCGCCCCGCAGCTGCGCCCACCTCAATCTTGCTGTTGTACACCAGGATCTCCAGCACGGAGGCCTCCTCCCCACACGTGTCCAGGGAGGAGAGGTCGTAGAGCGAGGAGTACACGGGGCCGTAGGCCCAGTCCTTGAACTTGCGGGACAGGTGCCTGGTGTCCTCGTCCGTCACCTCCCGGCGGATGATGTGCTGGAAGATCTGAGCAGGGGGAGTGGGCGGGTCGGATCCCGCCCAGGAGGGGAGCTCCCGGGGGACCGGGGCGGCACAGCCCAGCTAACGGCCCTCCCCGAGCAGGCCGGGGAGAGTATGTACCCGGCAGGCTGTGTGCGGAGCCTTTCCTCACAGCATCTGGTTTGATTCTCACCCTCACCATCGGGCTTACCGGCGGGAACGGAGGAAAGAAAGGTCCCCGGGCCACACCAGCACCCCGGGTCCCACTGAGGCCAGACCGCACCCAGGCTCCCTCACGGCCGGCTGCAGTGATTAAACACCATTAACCCATCCTGTTGCTGGGAATCCCGTACCACGAACCCGCAGCGCCCGTCCCCGCTCTCCGGGCTCCCTCAGCCTGCGCTGCGAGCTCGCTGGGCCAGGCCCCGCGGCGGGCCGGCCTCCATGGAGCCCGGGACCCGGGTGTCTGTGGCGGGTCCGGCTGGCGGGCGGGCGGGGGGGGGGGGGCAGCCAGAGGCCCCGGACACCAGGGACCAGAGCTGGCTCCTGAGCTGGGGCCTCTGCACACCAGTGGGCGCGCTGGGAGGGGGTGTGGGTGAGAATTAACCACAATGAACGCCAGCAGCAGCGCCTGCTGTGTGTGTGCGTGCATACGTGTGTGCATGCACGTGCGTGTCTGTGTGTGCACCTGTGTGGTGTGTGTGTGTGTGTGTGTGGTGTGTGTGTCAGTGGGAGACAGGAATGTATGTGTGTCTGGTGTGTGTGTGTGTGTGCGCGCGTGTCAGTGGGAGACAGGAGTTTGTGTGTGTGTGTGTGTGTGTGTGTGTGTGGTGTGTCGGTGGGAGGCAGGAGTATGTGTGTGAGTGGTGTGTGTGTGCTGTGTGTATGTGTGCATGTAGGTGGGAGAACAGGAGTGTTTGTGTGTGTGTGTGTCTCTGTGTGTCAGTGTGTGTCGGTGGGGAGAACAGGAGTGTGTGTGTGTGTGTGTGTGTGTGTGCACGCGCACGTGTGTGTCACTGTGTCGGTGTGTGTGTCAGTGTGTCAGTGTGTGTGTGTGTGTGTGTGTATGTCGGTGTGTGTCAGTGTGTCGGTGTATGTCGGTATGTGTCAGTGTGTCGGTGTGTGGTCAGTGGGTCGGTGTGTGTCACTGTTTCGGTGCGTGTAAGTGTGTCGGTGTGTGGTGAGTGTGTGTCAGTGTGTGTGTGTGTGTGTGTGTCAGTGTGTGTGTGCTGTATGTGTGTGGGTATGTGTGTCAGTGTGTCAGTGTTGGTGTGTGTGTGTGTCAGTGTGTCGGTGTGTGTCAGTGTGTGTGTGTCAGTGTGTTGGTGTGTCGGTGTGTGTGTGTGTCAGTGTGTGTGTGTCGGTGTGTGTTGGTGTATGTGTGTCAGTGTGTCGGTGTGTGTCAGTGTGTCAGTGTGTGTCACTGTGTGTGTGTGCTGTATGTGTGTCACTGTGTCAGTGTGGGTCGGTGTGTGTGTCAGTGTGTGTGTCAGTGTGTGTCACTGTGTCAGTGTGTGTTGGTATATATAGGTGTGTGTCAGTGTGTGTCGGTGTGTGTCACTGTGTCGGTGTGTGTCGGTGGTGTGACAGTGTATGTGGGTGTGTGTAGGTGTGTGTGTCAGTGTGTGTCGGTGGTGTGTGTCAGTGTATGTGGGTGTGTGTGTTGGTGTGTGTCGGTGTGTGTCGGTGTGTATAGGTGTGTGTGTCGGTGTATTGGTGTGTGTAGGTGTGTGTGTCAGTGTGTCAGCATGTTTCGCTGTGTTGGGGGAGACAGGAGCCGCACGCACCCCGATCTTGCCGGTCTTGGCGGCCATCATGAGGGGCGAGAGCCCGTCGTTGTGTGTGTGTGTGTGTGTGTGTGTGTGTGTGACAGTGTGTGTCGGTGTGTGTCACTGTCGGTGCGTGTCACTGTGTCAGTGTGTGTAGGTGTGTGTGTCGGTGTATGTCACTGTGTCACTGTGTCACTGTGTGTTGGTGTGTGTGTTGGTGTGTGTCAGTGTGTGTGACAGTGTATGTGGTGGTGTGTCACTGTGTCGGTGTGTGTCTGTGTGTGTGTCAGTGTGTCAGTGTGTGTCGGTGTGTCGGTGTGTGTGTCGGTGTGTTGGTGTGTGTGTCGGTGTGTCACTGTGTCGGTGTGTGTCACTGTGTCGGTGTGTGGTCGGTGTGTGTAGGTGTGTCAGTGCATGTCACTGTCAGTGTGTCGCTGTGTGTCACCTTGTTACTGTGTCAGTGTGTGTCGGTGTGTGTCAGTGTGTGTGACAGTGTATGTGGGTGTGTGTTGGTGTGTGTCACTGTGTGTCACTGTGTGTCACTGTGTCAGTGTGTGTCGGTGTGTGTGACAGTGTATGTGGGTGTGTGTGTTGGTGTGTCAGTGTGTGTCAGTGTGTGTTGGTGTGTATCGGTGTGTGTCACTGTGTCGGTGTGTGTCAGTGTGTGCTGGTGTGTGTCGGTGTGTGTGTGTGTCAGTGTGTGACGGTGTGTGTCACTGTGTCAGTGTGTGTCGGTGTGTGTGTGTGTCGGTGTGTGTCACTGTGTCAATGTGTGTCAGTGTCTGTCGGTGTGTGTAGGTGTGTGTGTCGGTGTGTGTAGATGTGTGTATGTGTGTGTGTCGGTGTGTGTCACTGTGTTAGTGCGTTAGGTGTGTGTAGGTGTGTGTGTCGGTGTATTGGTGTGTGTAGGTGTGTGTGTCAGTGTGTCACTGTGTCAGCATGTTTCGCTGTGTTGGGGGAGACAGGAGCCGCACGCACCCCGATCTTGCCGGTCTTGGCGGCCATCATGAGGGGCAAGAGCCCATCATTGTGTGTGTGTGTGTGTGTGTGTGTGTGTATGTGACAGTGTTTGTCGGTGTGTGTCACTGTGTCAGTGTGTGTCGGTGTGTGTAGGTTTGTGTGTCAGTGCGTGTCACTGTGTCAGTGTGTGTCGGTGTGTGTCAGTGTGTGTGACAGTGTATGTGGGTGTGTGTGTCGGTGTGTCGGTCTGTGTCAGTGTGTGTCGGTGTGTGTGTTGGTGTGTGTGTCGGTGTGTGTGTCTGTGTGTCGGTGTGTCACTGTGTCGCTGTGTGTTGGTGTGTCACTGTGTCGCTGTGTGTTGGTGTGTCACTGTGTCGGTGTGTGTGTAGGTGTGTGTGTTGGTGTGTGTCACTGTGTCGGTGTGTGTCGGTGTGTGTCGGTGTGTGTCACTGTGTTGGTGTGTGTCGGTGTGTCACTGTGTCGGTGTGTGTCACTGTGTCAGTGTGTGTCGGTGTGTGTCGGTGTGTGTAGGTGTGTGTGTCGGTGTATTGGTGTGTATAGGTGTGTGTGTCAGTGTGTCACTGTGTCAGCATGTTTCGCTGTGTCGGGGGAGATAGGAGCCGCACGCACCCCGATCTTGCCGCTCTTGGCGGCCATCATGAGGGGCGAGAGCCCGTCGCTGTGTGTGTGTGTGTGTCGGTGTGTGTCAGTGTGTCACTGTGTCAATGTGTGTCGGTGTCTGTCGGTGTGTGTGTAGGTGTGTGTGTCGGGGTGTGTCAGTGTGTCGGTGTGTGTCAGTGTGTGTCAGTGTGTCAGTGTGTAGGTGTGTGTGTCAGTGTGTCAGTGTGTCGCTGTGTCGCTGTGTCGGGAGACAGGGGCCGCACGCACCCCGATCTTGCCGCTCTTGGCGGCCATCATGAGGGGCGAGAGCCCGTCGTTGTGTGTGTGTGTGTCGGTGTGTCAGTGTGTGTGTCGGTGTATGTGTCAGTGTGTAGGTGTGTGTGTCAGTGTGTCAGTGTGTCGCTGTGTCAATGTGTGTCGGTGTCTGTCGGTGTGTGTAGGTGTGTGTGTCGGGGTGTGTCAGTGTGTCGGTGTGTGTGTCAGTGTGTCAGTGTGTCGCTGTGTCGCTGTGTCGGGAGACAGGGGCTGCACGCACCCCGATCTTGCCGCTCTTGGCGGCCATCATGAGGGGCGAGAGCCCGTCGCTGTGTGTGTGTGTGTCGGTGTGTCAGTGTGTCGCTGTGTCGCTGTGTCGGGAGACAGGGGCCGCACGCACCCCGATCTTGCCGCTCTTGGCGGCCATCATGAGGGGCGAGAGCCCGTCGCTGTTGAGCACGGCCTCCAGGTTGCTGTCGGGGAAGAGCCGGGCGCACTTGAGCAGCAGCAGGTCGTACATCTTGGTGACGAACTTGGTGTTCTCGCGGGTGTTGTCGGCGATGGCCACCAGCGCGTGCAGCACGGTGTTGCCGCGCGAGTCCTGGCGCCGCATGTCCGCCTGCTTGTGCGGGTTCTCCGTCAGGTAGTGCACGATGTGCGGCTGGTTGGTGCAGGCGGCCAGCGACAGGGGCAGCTCGCCTGTGCGGGGGGGGGGGGGGGGGGTCAGTGAGGGCGGGGGGTCAGTGAGGGCCGGGGGGGGTCAGTGAGGGGCGGGGAGTCAGTGAGGGGCGGGGAGGGGGTCAGTGAGGGGCCCAGGGGGGTCAGTGAGGGCCGGGGGGGGTCAGTGAGGGCCGGGGGGTCAGTGAGGGGCGGGGAGTCAGTGAGGGTCGGAGGGGGGGGTCAGTGAGGGCCGGGGGGGGTCAGTGAGGGCCAAGGGGGGTCAGTGAGGGGTGGGGGGATCAGTGAGGGGCGGGGAGTCAGTGAGGGGCGGGGGGGGTCAGTGAGGGCCAGGGGGTCAGTGAGGGGCGGGGGGGTCAGTGAGGGGCCCAGGGGGGTCAGTGAGGGGCCCAGGGGGGTCAGTGAGGGGCGGGGGGGTCAGTGAGGGCCAAGGGGGGTCAGTGAGGGGTGGGGGGATCAGTGAGGGGCGGGGAGTCAGTGAGGGGCGGGGGGGGGTCAGTGAGGGCCAGGGGGTCAGTGAGGGGCGGGGGGGGTCAGTGAGGGGCCCAGGGGGGTCAGTGAGGGGCCCAGGGGGGTCAGTGAGGGGCCCAGGGGGGGTCAGTGAGGGGCGGGGAGTCAGTGAGGGGCGGGGGGGGGGGTCAGTGAGGGGCGGGGGGTCAGTGAAGGGCCCAGCGGGGTCAGTGAGGGGCGGGGAGTCAGTGAGGGGCGGGGGGGGTCAGTGAGGGGCGGAGGGTCAGTGAGGGGCCCAGGGGGGTCAGTGAGGGGCCCAGGGGGTCAGTGAGGGCGGGGGGGGTCAGTGAGGGCCGGGGGGTCAGTGAGGGGCAGGGGGTCAGTGAGGGGCGGGGGGGTTCAGTGAGGGGCGGGGGGGTCAGTGAGGGGCGGGTGGGGGTCAGTGAGGGGCGGGTGGGGGTCAGTGAGGGCCGGGGGGTCAGTGAGGGCCGGGGGGTCAGTGAGGGGCGGGGGGGTCAGTGAGGGGCAGGGGGGGCGGTCAGTGAGGGCCGGGGTGGTCAGTGAGGGCCGGGGGGTCAGTGAGGGGCGGGGAGTCAGTGAGGGGCGGAGGGGGGGGTCAGTGAGGGCCGGGGGGGTCAGTGAGGGCCGGGGGGTCAGTGAGGGGCAGGGGGTGGTCAGTGAGGGGGCGGGGGGGGCTCAGTGAGGGCCGGGGGTCAGTGAGGGCCGGGGGGGTCAGTGAGGGCTGGGGGGGGGGTCAATGAGGGGCGGGGAGTCAGTGAGGGGGGGGTCAGTGAGGGCCGGGGGGTCAGTGAGGGCCCAGAGGGGTCGGCCAGGCCTGAGCCGGGCATCGGGGGTCAGCGGGGGGGCCTGGACCCGGGTGCGGGGTCCTTGAGGCCTGGGCCCAGGCGCGGGGTCGGGCGGGGGGGGGGGGGGCCTGGGCCCAGGTGCGGAGTCGGGGGGGGGGGGCCTGGGCCCGGGTGCGGGGTTGGGGGAGCCTGGGCCCGGGTGCGGGGTCGGCGGGGCCTGGGCCCGGGTGCGGGGTCGGGGGGGGCCTGGCCCGGGTGCGGGGTCGGGGGGGGCCTGGCCCGGGTGCGGGGTCGGGGGGGCCTGGCCCGGGTGCAGGGTCGGGGGGGGGGCCTGGCCCGGGTGCGGGGTCGGGGGGGGGCCTGGCCCGGGTGCAGGGTTGGGGGGGGGGCCTGGCCCGGGTGCGGGGTCGGGGGGGTCCTGGCCCGGGTGCAGGGTCGGGGGGGGGGGCCTGGGCCCGGGTGCGGGGTTGGGGGAGCCTGGGCCCGGGTGCGGGGGTCGGCGGGGCCTGGGCCCGGTGCGGGGTCGGGGGGGGGGGCCTGGCCCGGGTGCGGGTTCGGTAGGGGGCCTGGGGCCCGGGTGCGGGGTCGGCGGGGGGGGCCTGGGCCCGGGTGCGGGGTTGGCGGGGCCTGGGCCCGGGTGCGGGGTCGGGGGGGGGGGGCCTGGCCCGGGTGCGGGGTCGGGGGGGGGGGCCTGGCCCGGGTGCGGGTTCGGTAGGGGGCCTGGGCCTGGGTGCGGGTCGCCTGTAGGGCTGGGGCCCGGGTGCGGGGTGGGGGGGGGGCCTGGCCCGGGTGTGGGGTCGGGGGGGGGGGCCTGGGCCCGGGTGCGGGGGGGGCGGGGCCTGGCCCGGGTGCGGGTCGCCGGGCCGCTCACCGAAGTAGAAGTAGCCGCCCTCGTCCTTGGGCTGGAAGAAGCGGCCCCGGGCCTGGGCGTGCACGTCGGCGCCCTGCGCCACCAGCAGCTCCACGTAGTGCTTGCAGCGGCGCTCGATGGCGATGTGCAGCGCAGTCTGGCCTGGAGGGGCGGGGCGGTCACCCCGGCGGGCAGACACAGAGCCGGGGGGGGGGGGGGGGGGGGCACCGTGAGAAATGGGGGGGGTCTGAGCTTCCCAGGCCGAGCTTCCCAGACGTGGCCTCCCTGATGCTCGGTCCCAGGCCTCGTGCACCAGGATCTGAGGCTCAAACCGCGTCCGACGTGCAGGGTCCTCTCCGTGGGGACTTTCAGACGCCCAAACGGAGTGGCTCCCCCCCCCGCCCCTCTCTCCCCCCTCTCCGGAGGAGCGCCCGCCCCCGGTCTCGAGTTCGGGGCTCAGGTGTGAACCCACAGAACATGGACCGAGTCCGAGGCACCGAGTCTCAGGACTCAGGCCCGGAGCTGGGGCTCAGGCGCCTCTGGCCTCAGCGCTGTGGTCACAGACCCCCTCTCCCAGGGCCTGTGAGCCCGGAACAGAGCGTCTGAGGCCAGGACCCCGAGCTCCAGGGTCACTGGGCTCCCTGCACCTCAGAATCCGGATTGTGAAATGCAGGAAACCCGAGTCCACCCATTCACTCACCATTCACTCCCTCACTCCCTCACTCACCCTCATTCATTCACTCCCTCCCTCATTCACTCACTCATTCACTCATTCACTCCCTCATTCACTCCCTCCCTCATTCACTCCCTCCCTCATTCACTCCCTCATTCACTCACTCCCTCATTCACTCCCTCCCTCATTCACTCACTCATTCACTCATTCACTCCCTCCTTCACTCCCTCCCTCCTTCACTCCCTCCCTCCTTCACTCATTCATTCACTCACTCCCTCATTCACTCACTCCCTCATTCACTCCCTCCCTCACTCACTCACTCCCTCATTCACTCACTCCCTCCCTCACTCACTCCCTCACTCACTCCCTCACTCCCTCACTCCCTCACTCATTCACTCACTCACTCCCTCACTCCCTCACTCACTCACTCCCTCACTCACTCACTCCCTCACTCACTCACTCACTCACTCCCTCATTCACTCCCTCATTCACTCCCTCATTCACCCCCTCCCTCATTCACCCCCTCCCTCATTCAATCACTCATTCATTCACTCCCTCCCTCATTCACTCCTTCCCTCATTCACTCCCTCCCTCATTCACTCACTCCTTCATTCATTCACTCACTCCCTCACTCACTCCCTCACTCACTCACTCGCTCATTCACTCACTCCCTCACTCCCTCACTCACTCACTCACTCCCTCATTCACTCCCTCCCTCATTCACTCCCTCATTCACTCCCTCCCTCATTCACTCACTCATTCACTCATTCACTCCCTCCTTCACTCCCTCCCTCCTTCACTCCCTCCCTCCTTCACTCATTCATTCACTCACTCCCTCATTCACTCACTCCCTCATTCACTCCCTCCCTCACTCACTCACTCGCTCATTCACTCACTCCCTCACTCCCTCACTCACTCACTCACTCCCTCATTCACTCCCTCCCTCATTCACTCCCTCATTCACTCACTCCCTCATTCACTCCCTCCCTCATTCACTCACTCATTCACTCATTCACTCCCTCCTTCACTCCCTCCCTCCTTCACTCCCTCCCTCCTTCACTCATTCATTCACTCACTCCCTCATTCACTCACTCCCTCATTCACTCCCTCCCTCACTCACTCACTCCCTCATTCACTCACTCCCTCCCTCACTCACTCCCTCACTCACTCCCTCACTCCCTCACTCCCTCACTCATTCACTCACTCACTCCCTCACTCCCTCACTCACTCACTCCCTCACTCACTCACTCCCTCACTCACTCACTCACTCACTCCCTCATTCACTCCCTCATTCACTCCCTCATTCACTCCCTCCCTCATTCACCCCCTCCCTCATTCACCCCCTCCCTCATTCAATCACTCATTCATTCACTCCCTCCCTCATTCACTCCTTCCCTCATTCACTCCCTCCCTCATTCACTCACTCCTTCATTCATTCACTCACTCCCTCACTCACTCCCTCACTCACTCACTCGCTCATTCACTCACTCCCTCACTCCCTCACTCACTCACTCACTCCCTCATTCACTCCCTCATTCACTCCCTCCCTCATTCACTCCCTCCCTCATTCACTCACTCCTTCATTCATTCCCTCACTCCCTCACTCCCTCATTCACTCCCTCACTCACTCACTCGCTCATTCACTCACTCCCTCACTCCCTCACTCACTCACTCACTCCCTCATTCACTCCCTCCCTCATTCACTCCCTCATTCACTCACTCCCTCATTCACTCCCTCCCTCATTCACTCACTCATTCACTCATTCACTCCCTCCTTCACTCCCTCCCTCCTTCACTCCCTCCCTCCTTCACTCATTCATTCACTCACTCCCTCATTCACTCCCTCCCTCACTCACTCCACTCCCTCATTCACTCACTCCCTCCCTCACTCACTCCCTCACTCACTCCCTCACTCCCTCACTCATTCACTCACTCACTCCCTCACTCCCTCACTCACTCACTCCCTCACTCACTCACTCCCTCACTCACTCACTCACTCACTCCCTCATTCACTCCCTCATTCACTCCCTCATTCACTCCCTCCCTCATTCACCCCCTCCCTCATTCACCCCCTCCCTCATTCAATCACTCATTCATTCACTCCCTCCCTCATTCACTCCTTCCCTCATTCACTCCCTCCCTCATTCACTCACTCCTTCATTCATTCACTCACTCCCTCACTCACTCCCTCACTCACTCACTCGCTCATTCACTCACTCCCTCACTCCCTCACTCATTCACTCCCTCCCTCATTCACTCCCTCATTCACTCACTCCCTCATTCACTCCCTCCCTCATTCACTCACTCATTCACTCATTCACTCCCTCCTTCACTCCCTCCCTCCTTCACTCCCTCCCTCCTTCACTCATTCATTCACTCACTCCCTCATTCACTCACTCCCTCATTCACTCCCTCCCTCACTCACTCACTCGCTCATTCACTCACTCCCTCACTCCCTCACTCACTCACTCACTCCCTCATTCACTCCCTCCCTCATTCACTCCCTCATTCACTCACTCCCTCATTCACTCCCTCCCTCATTCACTCACTCATTCACTCATTCACTCCCTCCTTCACTCCCTCCCTCCTTCACTCCCTCCCTCCTTCACTCATTCATTCACTCACTCCCTCATTCACTCACTCCCTCATTCACTCCCTCCCTCACTCACTCACTCCCTCATTCACTCACTCCCTCCCTCACTCACTCCCTCACTCACTCCCTCACTCCCTCACTCCCTCACTCATTCACTCACTCACTCCCTCACTCCCTCACTCACTCACTCCCTCACTCACTCACTCCCTCACTCACTCACTCACTCACTCCCTCATTCACTCCCTCATTCACTCCCTCATTCACTCCCTCCCTCATTCACCCCCTCCCTCATTCACCCCCTCCCTCATTCAATCACTCATTCATTCACTCCCTCCCTCATTCACTCCTTCCCTCATTCACTCCCTCCCTCATTCACTCACTCCTTCATTCATTCACTCACTCCCTCACTCACTCCCTCACTCACTCACTCGCTCATTCACTCACTCCCTCACTCCCTCACTCACTCACTCACTCCCTCATTCACTCCCTCATTCACTCCCTCCCTCATTCACTCCCTCCCTCATTCACTCACTCCTTCATTCATTCCCTCACTCCCTCACTCCCTCATTCACTCCCTCACTCACTCACTCGCTCATTCACTCACTCCCTCACTCCCTCACTCACTCACTCACTCCCTCATTCACTCCCTCCCTCATTCACTCCCTCATTCACTCACTCCCTCATTCACTCCCTCCCTCATTCACTCACTCATTCACTCATTCACTCCCTCCTTCACTCCCTCCCTCCTTCACTCCCTCCCTCCTTCACTCATTCATTCACTCACTCCCTCATTCACTCACTCCCTCATTCACTCCCTCCCTCACTCACTCACTCCCTCATTCACTCACTCCCTCCCTCACTCACTCCCTCACTCACTCCCTCACTCCCTCACTCCCTCACTCATTCACTCACTCACTCCCTCACTCCCTCACTCACTCACTCCCTCACTCACTCACTCCCTCACTCACTCACTCACTCACTCCCTCATTCACTCCCTCATTCACTCCCTCATTCACTCCCTCCCTCATTCACCCCCTCCCTCATTCACCCCCTCCCTCATTCAATCACTCATTCATTCACTCCCTCCCTCATTCACTCCTTCCCTCATTCACTCCCTCCCTCATTCACTCACTCCTTCATTCATTCACTCACTCCCTCACTCACTCCCTCACTCACTCACTCGCTCATTCACTCACTCCCTCACTCCCTCACTCACTCACTCACTCCCTCATTCACTCCCTCATTCACTCCCTCCCTCATTCACTCCCTCCCTCATTCACTCACTCCTTCATTCATTCCCTCACTCCCTCACTCCCTCATTCACTCCCTCACTCACTCACTCGCTCATTCACTCACTCCCTCACTCCCTCACTCACTCACTCACTCCCTCATTCACTCCCTCCCTCATTCACTCCCTCATTCACTCACTCCCTCATTCACTCCCTCCCTCATTCACTCACTCATTCACTCATTCACTCCCTCCTTCACTCCCTCCCTCCTTCACTCCCTCCCTCCTTCACTCATTCATTCACTCACTCCCTCATTCACTCACTCCCTCATTCACTCCCTCCCTCACTCACTCACTCCCTCATTCACTCACTCCCTCCCTCACTCACTCCCTCACTCACTCCCTCACTCCCTCACTCATTCACTCACTCACTCCCTCACTCCCTCACTCACTCACTCCCTCACTCACTCACTCCCTCACTCACTCACTCACTCACTCCCTCATTCACTCCCTCATTCACTCCCTCATTCACTCCCTCCCTCATTCACCCCCTCCCTCATTCACCCCCTCCCTCATTCAATCACTCATTCATTCACTCCCTCCCTCATTCACTCCTTCCCTCATTCACTCCCTCCCTCATTCACTCACTCCTTCATTCATTCACTCACTCCCTCACTCACTCCCTCACTCACTCACTCGCTCATTCACTCACTCCCTCACTCCCTCACTCACTCACTCACTCCCTCATTCACTCCCTCATTCACTCCCTCCCTCATTCACTCCCTCCCTCATTCACTCACTCCTTCATTCATTCCCTCACTCCCTCACTCCCTCATTCACTCCCTCACTCACTCACTCGCTCATTCACTCACTCCCTCACTCCCTCACTCACTCACTCACTCCCTCATTCACTCCCTCCCTCATTCACTCCCTCATTCACTCACTCCCTCATTCACTCCCTCCCTCATTCACTCACTCATTCACTCATTCACTCCCTCCTTCACTCCCTCCCTCCTTCACTCCCTCCCTCCTTCACTCATTCATTCACTCACTCCCTCATTCACTCACTCCCTCATTCACTCCCTCCCTCACTCACTCACTCCCTCATTCACTCACTCCCTCCCTCACTCACTCCCTCACTCACTCCCTCACTCCCTCACTCATTCACTCACTCACTCCCTCACTCCCTCACTCACTCACTCCCTCACTCACTCACTCCCTCACTCACTCACTCACTCACTCCCTCATTCACTCCCTCATTCACTCCCTCATTCACTCCCTCCCTCATTCACCCCCTCCCTCATTCACCCCCTCCCTCATTCAATCACTCATTCATTCACTCCCTCCCTCATTCACTCCTTCCCTCATTCACTCCCTCCCTCATTCACTCACTCCTTCATTCATTCACTCACTCCCTCACTCACTCCCTCACTCACTCACTCGCTCATTCACTCACTCCCTCACTCCCTCACTCACTCACTCACTCCCTCATTCACTCCCTCATTCACTCCCTCCCTCATTCACTCCCTCCCTCATTCACTCACTCCTTCATTCATTCCCTCACTCCCTCACTCCCTCATTCACTCCCTCACTCACTCACTCGCTCATTCACTCACTCCCTCACTCCCTCACTCACTCACTCACTCCCTCATTCACTCCCTCATTCACTCCCTCCCTCATTCACCCCCTCCCTCATTCAATCACTCATTCATTCACTCCCTCCCTCATTCACTCCCTCCCTCATTCACTCCCTCCCTCATTCACTCCCTCCCTCATTCATTCACTCACTCCCTCACTCCCTCATTCACTCCCTCCCTCACTCACTCCCTCATTCACTCACTCCCTCACTCACTCATTAACTCACTCCCTCATTCACCCCCTCCCTCATTCACCCCCTCCCTCATTCACTTCCTCCCTCATTCACTTCCTCACTCATTCATTCACTCCCTCATTCACTCACTCCCTCATTCATTCACCCAGTCATTCACTCACTCCTTCATTCATTCACTCCCTCATTCACTCACTCCCTCATTCATTCACCCAGTCATTCACTCACTCCTTCATTCATTCACTCCCTCATTCACTCACTCCCTCATTCACTCACTCACTCACTCCCTCATTCACTCACTCATTCATTCATCCACTCATTCACTCACTCCTTCATTCATTCATTCACTCCCTCATTCACTCACTCCCTCATTCACTTACTCACTCATTCATTCAGCAATCAGCAGGTTTCTAGGTGCACGCTGGCACGGGTCCAGTGCAAAGCCCTTGGAGGTGGGAAGTGAGGGTCGTCCCCCCCACCTCGGTAGGAGATGCCCCGGAGGGGTGGGAAGTGGGCCCCCCCCCACCTCGGTAGGAGATGCCCCGGAGAGGTGGGAAGTGGGGCGCCCCCCCCCACCTCGGTAGGAGATGCCCCGGAGAGGTGGGAAGTGGGGCGCCCCCCCCCACCTCGGTAGGAGATGCCCCGGAGAGGTGGGAAGTGGGGCGCCCCCCGGGGTCCCCCGCCCACCTCGGTAGGAGATGCCCCGGAGGGGTGGGAAGTGGGGTCCCTCCCCGCCCACCTCGGTAGTAGATGTCCCGGAGGGATGGGAAGTGGGGCGCCCCCCGGGGCCCCCCACCTCGGTAGGAGATGCCCTGGAGGGGTGGGAAGTGGGGTCCCCCCCGCCCACCTCGGTAGTAGATGTCCCGGAAGGGCGAGTTGACGAACTCGCGCGTGTTGCCGGTGCGCGCGGCGATGTCCAGCAGCAGCGGGATGGTGTCGTTGCGGCCGTGGCTGAGGTTCAGCAGGGCCTTGGGCAGGCAGGTCTTCCCCGTGGAGGGCTCTGGGGGACGGGCGCGGAATGAGGGCCCCCCCCGCTCCCCACGGAGCGGAGGGGCTGAGGGCTTAAAACGTGAGAAGCTGCCGCCTTTCGAGAGGCTGGAGTTCGGAAAGCAGGTCGGGGGGAACTTGACAAGCAAATAGGCGGGAGGCGGGTGCAGGGCCTCTCAGAGCCTTTCGCCTGCTGCTGAGGCCGGAGCCTCAAACCAGACCCAGCAGCCGCCGTCCGCCCGCTGGACCCCGGAGTCCTCGCACCTGTGCCCGGAGGGCGGAGGGGGGCAGGCTCCCAGAGCCGGCTGCCCCGTGGGTGCGTGGGGCACGGAACTGGGCCCTGGATTCGGGCTTCCACGCCCCCAGACCTGGGGCTGGGGGCTGCCAGCCGGGCCCTGGGGTAAGATGCCAAGAGCAGTGCCTTCCCAGAAACGCAGTTCCAGGAATGACCACCAGGTGGCGAAGTGACTGCCCGCCCGGCTGCTGCAGCGGGCCCTGCAGTGGGAGGCGCTGGGTGGGAGGGGGCGTCACAGTGACCTCCTGAGCCTCCGGCTGGAACAACACGCAGGGCGGCCCCGGGGGTCTTGTTGATGAAAACACACAGCAGGTGGCTGCCTGGTGGCGGGGCTCACAGACCACCTGCCTGGATCCAGGGAGGCCGGCAGCAGAGGCAGCTGGGCCCCGGGGTGTTTTGAGCCTGGACACGGCTGGGGGTTGTTGGGGGCTGGGGCAGTGGAGACCGGAGGGGCGCTGGGAAGCTGGGGGGTACCAGGCGGGGGGGGGGAGGGGAGAGACTGTCTGGGAGCACAAGCAACCATACCTGATGCCCAGCAGGCAGGACTCCCGAATCCCGGGGGCCTGACCACACCTCGCCGTTCTCTCTGCTGAGGCCGGGCCATGCCTCCCCCTCCCAGCTCACAGGGGAGACACTGGGTCAGGAGGCCACACTCCCCTCCGCAGTGGAGGCGGTTTGCACCAGGAGGGTGGACTCTGCTGGCCTGCTGCCCTGCCCTTGCTCAGTGAAGGCTGGACGATGGACAGACGGAGCCGCGGAGGCCCAGAGAGGGTAAGCCACATAGCCAAAGACACCCAGGACCGAACTCCCTGTCCCGCGCTCCTGCAGCCAGTGCAGCCTACGGACCAGGGAGGAGGGGAGGCCGGGGACAGGAGCCCCAGTGCCTCCCCTCTGGCTGGCCCGCCCCCCCCCCCCCCGGAGGCTCACCCCGGAACTCCTCGTCCGTCAGGCGCTTCTTGTGGGTGAGCAGGTAGGGGAGCAGCCCGTCCAGGCCGGCCGTGGAGCCCCGGGACACGATGTCGAAGAGGATGGGCCGGTTGAAGACCTTGAGGACGGGGGGCGGCTGGGGCGCGGGAGCTTTGGGGCTCTGCGGCTGCTTCCTGCGGGGGGGGGGGCAGTGACGGGAGGGTTTGTCCCGCCCACTCCCCAGCCCGGGGTCAGCCAGAGCCCGGGGACAGGCCAGACCGAGGGAGGAGGGTCAGCTGTTTTATCCAACGCACTGCACCCAGGACTCCTGAGTTTGGGTGGAGAGACAGCCAGACGGAAACACACAGCCCCACATCCGTCCGTCCGTCCGTCCCGTCTGTCGTTTACTGAACACTCACTAAGCAGAGGCTGAGGAGGCAGTGAGAACACGGAGGAGGAACACGGGGCTGAAAAGCGAAGAACTCATTCATTTATTCGACACTCAGCACGAGCCCTCGTTCACAAAGGCCATGAGGCCCCGCACAGTGAACGAGGCGGAGACGGCTGTATTTAGCGCCTACTCTGCCGGGTGCACACTGAGGTCGGAAAGACAGGCAGAGACGGGAGGGAGGGGAGGGGAAGAGGCTGTGCCATGCCAGCGGAGGTGGGCAGAGGGGAGACGGGGCCGGGCGGCTGTGGGCAGTGGGCAGGGGGCAGCAGAGCCCTGGCCAGGGAAGGGGAAGAGGTGGAACACAGCCTGGGACTGCCCTCCTGGCCTGCACAGCCCGTTCTATCTATCTGCTCCTGAACCTTGACCTTTGAGCCAACATATGAAATGGAAAGAACACCCTCGACCCCAGACCTCAGTGGGCGGCCTTCGGGGTCTGAGGACAGCGGCTCAGCCACCCCCAGCTCTCTAAGGCTGGACGGAGGGCCTGAGGGGGAGACACGGAGCCCCCGCTCCCAGCAGGCCTCAGGGGCGGGGGCGCAGCTCGCTGCCCTGGGTGCTCCCTCCTCTGAGCAGAGGCTGAGCAGACGCCTGGAGCCCAGCTCCCTGACCTGCAGGGCGCCCAGCTCTGCCCTCGCCCCTGCGCTGCCCTCCACCTGGACACACCGTGTGGCTGCCCTTCCTCATCCCCAGCTCTGGGCTTAAATGCCAGCTCCTCCAGGAAGCCCTCCCGGACTGCCTTTCCTGTATCAGCTCCGGTCTCCGCCCTCAGCCCTCCGCCACCTCCATCCACGCGTTCACTGACTTGCTTACTGTCTGTCTCGCCCTCCACAGGGAAGGGGCCACCTGAGTGGGCGTGTATCTGGTCTAGCTCACCCCAGACCCCCCGGGCCCACCCCACGGCCTGGCACATGGCCGGTGCTTGAGAAACAGTAACTGAATGAATCAGTGACATCCAGGGGTGTAAATGAGTCTGATCAGCGAGGAGGACAGAGGACACCTCCGCCTTCATCTGTCCTCCGGGTACACACCGGCCGGAGAGGGGTGCATAGGGGTTGTCATGGGAAGAAGGCTGGACCAATAGATGACAGGACCAATAGACATATAGATAGACTTCAAAGGAGTGATGATGGGTGGATGGGTGGACGGACGGACGGTGGATGGACAGGTGGACAGATGGGTAGTTGGGGAATGGGTGAGTAGTTGATGAAGGGAAACTCGAGGAAAGAAACGGCTGGTGTCCAAGTCTGGGCCATCGGGCATGTGTGGGGCACCGGGGTCGGGACCTGGACCAGGTCACAAACGGCACTGGCTCCGCAGGAGCAGAGGCTGAGGCGAGGACTGCAGTGAGGGGCTGCAGTGAGGGGGCTGCAGCCACGCCTGGCAGAGAACGCAGCATTGGGATGGCCATGCGTTAACCCAACCAGGGCTTCTCTCCCCTCTCCTCTCCTTCAGCCAGGCTTCCTTCATGGAGAGAAAGGGTTAACACTTTAGCATCTGACCTCTCCCCAGGAGGTGCCCAAGAATGAGGGTGGCACTTGGAGGAGACCCAGGAGGGGCTGCTGGGACTGTGTCAACAGAAGATTGGTGGATGGATGGATGAGAAAATGAACAAAAATATAAATGAGTCAGTGACTGAGCAAATGAATGAACAAGTGGGTGGACAGATAGGTGGATGAATGAATTGGTGGAAGGAAAGAAGGGAGAGAGGGAGGGAAGAAGAGAGGGAAGGAAGGAGGGAAGAGGGAGGGGGAGAAAATTAGAAATGGAATGAATGAATGATGAATATAGTTTAATGGGTAGCTGACTGGTTGGATGAATAGAAACAGTGGGTAAGTAAAGGAATGAATAGGTGGGAGAGTAAGTGGTGGATGAATGGAGGGCTGGACAAGTAGATGACAGATAAATAGATGGGTTCATAGATATTTGAATGATGATGGACAGATGGATTGGACAAGTGGATTGACAGGTGAAAAGACAGATAGATAGCTGGGTGAATGAATGAGTAGAGGATAGATGGATGAGTAGATGGATGGGTGGGTGGACAAACAAGTGTATGGAAGAATGGACAGGTGGGTGGATGAATGGAAGGATAAATGGACGGATGGATGGATGGATGGATGGATGGATGGATGGATGGATGGACGGACAGGTGGGTGGATGGATAGATAGGTGGGTGGATGGATGGAAGGATAGCTGAGTGGGTGGATGGATGGGTAGATGGATAAATGGAAGGATGGACAAGTGGGTGGGTGGATGGGTGGACAGGTAGGTGGATGGATAAATGGAAGGATAGACAGGTGGGTGGATGGATGGATGGGTGGGTGGGTGTATGGATGGATGGATGGATGGACAGGTAGGTGGATGGATGGACAGTTGGGTAGATGGATAAGTAGATGGATGGACAAGTGGGTGGACAGATGGGTAGGTGGATAAATAGATGGATGGAAGGTGAGTGGACGGATGGATGGATGGATGGATAAATGGGAGGATGGACAGGTGGATGAATGGATGGGTGGATGGATGGACAGGTTGAGGGATGGATAAATGAAAGGATGGATGGGGAGAGTGGATGGGTGGATGGATTAATGGATGGATGGACAGGTGAGTGGATGGATGGATGGATGGATGGATGGATAGATGGACATATGGGTGGGTGGATGAGTGGACAGGTGGTGGGTGGATAAATGGAAGGAAGGACAGGTAGGTGGGTGGATAAATGGAAGGAAGGAAGGTAGGTCGATGGATAAGTGGAAGGAAGGACAGGTGGTGGATGGATAAATGGAAGGATGGACAGGGAGGTCGATGGATAAGTGGAAGGAAGGACAGGTGGTGGGTAGATAAATGGAAGGATGGACAGGTGGGTGGATAAATGGAAGGATGGACAGGTGGTGGATGGATTAATGGATGGATGGACAGGTGAGTGGATGAATGGATGGATGGATGGACATGTGGATGGGTGGATAAGTGGACAGGGAGATGAGTGGATAAGTGGAAGGAAGGACAGGTGGTGGGTGGATAAATGGAAGGATGGACAGGGAGGTGGATGGATAAATGGAAGGAGGGACAGGCGGTGGATGGATAAATGGAAGGAAGGACAGGTGGTGGGTGGAAGTGGAAGGAGGGACAGGTAGTGGGTGGATGGATTAAATGGAAGGAAGGACAGGTGGTGGGTGGATGGATTAAATGGAAGGAAGGACAGGTGGTGAGTGGATAAATGGAAGGAGGGACAGGGAGGTGGATGGATAAATGGAAGGAGGGACAGGCGGTGGGTGGATGGATTAAATGGAAGGAGGGACAGGTGGTGGGTGGAGGTGGAAGGAGGGACAGGCGGTGGATAAATGGAAGGACAGTGGTGGATGGAGGTGGAAGGAGGGACAGTGGTGGGTGGAGGTGGAAGGAGGGACAGGCGGTGGGTGGATAAATGGAAGGACAGGCGGTGGGTGGAGGTGGAAGGAGGGACAGGCGGTGGGTGGATGGATAAATGGAAGGAAGGACAGGTGGTGGGTGGAGGTGGAAGGAGGGCAGGTGGTGGGTGGATAAATGGAAGGAGGGACAGGCGGTGGGTGGATAAATGGAAGGACAGGCGGTGGGTGGAGGTGGAAGGAGGGACAGTGGTGGGTGGAGGTGGAAGGAGGGCAGCGGTGGGCGGCTCGGTACAGAGCTGACACGCCCGGAGCCGCAGTACTCACTCCAGGGCCTTCCTCCTCCGGCGCTTGTTGTCGCTGGGGTGGTGGCGGTAGGTGCCGTAGTCGAAGAGGGAGTCCATGGGCGCCTTCTTGGGCCCGGGCGCCACCGCGGACTCGTACAGCGTGGACTCCAGCAGGTCGATGGGGTTGGGCACCCCCTTGCGGAAGGCGCCCTGGAACTTCATGCGCAGGTTTGGCCGCCCGTCCCCGGTGCCCGCGGCGGCGGCCGGGCGAGCGGCGTCGGGCGGCGAGGGCGACGGCGACCCCTCCTCGCCCTCGAACAGGTTGGCCAGCGAGGACAGCGGGAAGGCCTCGCCGGCGGCGCCACTCTCATCCCCCGGGGGCTCGGCCGCCTCCCCCGGCCCCGCCCGGGGGCCCTCGCCGGGGTCGGCCATGCTGGCCCGCGTCCTCACCTCCGCCCGGCTGGCCTGCAAGGGAGCGGGCGTGGGCTCAGGAAGGACCCTCCCACGTGGGCAACAGCCCGCCGCCCAGGCTCAAAGCCTCGCTGTAATGACAGGGTGCGGCTCCCGCTGCGGCTCCGCCAGCCCCGGCAGAGCCGCCCTGGAGCCTCTCAGGGCCCGGGACCCCACAGGGCTGGCTCGGGGCCCGCTCCCCGGGCGGGAGCTGCAGGAGGAAGGGCCTCAGACACCCCGGACCCCACACCTGGGGCCGAGCTTCCTCCCCCCCAGCCCACCAGCCGCGGAGCCGCACGGAGCAGGCTGAGCCGGCTCCAGCTTAGCCACCGCAGGCCGGCCGCTGACCGGGCAGGGCCACGTGGCACACCGAGGCTGGGCTGTCACCGGTCACCGGGGTGCCGAGGGCAGGGCCCTGCCTCCCCGCGCCGGCGCCAGGTCAGGAGCCGTGGAACCGAGGCCCGTTTCCTCCCAGCACCACCGTTCTGACCCAGAATCAGAAAGAAATCGAGGTTCCGGGCTGTGGCTGGCCTCCCCAGGCACAACTCTGCTCCTGTGCGGGCAGATCCCTCTTTGCCTGGTACCCCCACCCTCCTCCACTCCCCCATCCCCCCGCTGTGTCCCAGCCCGACCGCCCCTTCCCCTGGGACGCCCTCCCTGCGAACAGACGGCCTGTGAAAAGGTGTCCTGGTCCCAGGTCTCAGGTGAGGACGGGGCTCCGAGGGGCAGCACAGGTCGGTGCAGAGAGCACGCCCCGTCCCCGGGGAGGCGGCGGGCGTGGGTGCAGAGGCGGGTGAGGGGGTGAGGCGCACGGCGCAGGCGGTGGTCAGGGCGGCGTGGGGGCAGTCTGTCCCGGCCGCGTTGGGCGATGCCACAGGCAGTGCGCTGCCGAACGGCAGACACTGTGCGGTGTCAGTGGCACTAGCTCCGCCAGGCGGCCACGCCGCGCGTTATATAAATGTCTGTCCCTGGGCTGTACAGCTGAAAGTAATATATTTGCCAGCGGAAATCAAAAATAGCCCCAGCCGGTCTGGCTCAGTGGATAGTGTCCGCCTGCAGACCAGAGCGCTTCAATTCCGTTGCTGGCACATCCCCAGTGGGGGGGGGGGGGGTGCGGGAGGCAGCTGATGGATGTTTCTCTCTCATTGATGTTTCTGACTCTATCCCTCTCCCTTCCTCTCTGTAAGGAATCAATAAAATATATATTTTAAAAAAATAGCCCTAGCCCAGTGGTCGGCAAACTCATTAGTCGACAGAGCCAAATATCCACAGTACAACTGAAATTTATCTTGAGAGTTGAAAACTGTCTTCTGCACCTGGGCCGTGACGTTTCAATCACACTGTGTGCGCGCTCTGCACATGGTATTGTGTGGAAGAGCCACGCTCCAGGGGCCAAAGAGCCGCATGTGGCTCGCAAGCCGCAGTTTGCCGACCACTGCCCTCGCCGGTTTGGCTCCGTGTCGGCCTGCAGACCAAAGGGTCCCGGCTTCTATTCCGGTCAAGGGCCCGGACCTCGGCTGCAGGCTCTGCCCGGCCCAGGCCCTGGTCAGGGCATGCGCAGGAGGCAGCCAATCGATGTGTTTCTCTCACGTGGATGTTTCCCTCTGTCTTTCCCTCTTTCTCTGAAAACCAATGGAAAGCCAAAACCGGTTTGGCTCAGTGGATAGAGCGTCGGTCTGCGGACTGAAAGGTCCCGGGTTCGATTCCAGTCAAGGGCATGTACCTTGGTTGCGGGCACATCCCCAGTAGGGGGTGTGCAAGAGGCCGCTGGTTGATGTTTCTCTCTCATCAACGTTTCTAGCTCTCTATTTCTTTCCCTTCCTGTCTGTAAAATATCAATAAAATATATATATATATATTTTTAAATATATTTTTATTGATTTTTCACAGAGAGGAAGAGAGAGGGATAGAGAGTTAGAAACGTCGATGAGAGAGAATCATCGACCAGCTGCCTCTTGCACACCCCCCGCCGTGGATGTGCCCGCAACCAAGGTACATGCCCTTGACCGGACTCGAACCCGGGACCTTTCAGTCCGCAGACCGACGTTCTATCCACTGAGCCAAACCGGTGCCGGCCAATAAAATATATTTTAAAAAATAATAAAAAAATAAAATAAAAACCAATGGAAAAATATCTTGAGGATTAACAAAAAAAATAATAAATTAGTATTTTAATATTAAAAAAAGTAAAAGTGAACCAGAGGGGCCGTCCGTGCGTCTCTGGCTCCCGCCCAGGCCGCGCAGGCCAGGCCGGCACCCAGGCCGGTTTCCTGGAACTCCCCGCCGCCCCGCAGCAGGGAGACGAACAGGCCTCCTCTGTCCGCCCGCCCAGCGCCAGCAGAGGAGCAACGGACTGGGCCCCACCTTGTTTGCTCTGCGGCTGTGAGAGGTGGGGACGGCGAAAGGCCTCTCTTAAAAAAAAAAAAAAAAATTTTTTTAATTTCAGAGACGGAGGGAAACATCAACAGTGAGAGAATCACTGATCGGCTGCCTCCTGCACGCCCCACACTGGGGATCAAGCCTGCAACCCAGCTATGTGCCCTGACCTAAATGAAACCCAGGACCCTTCAGTTCACAGGCAGACACCCTCTCCACTGAGCCACACCAGCCAGGGCTCAAGAGGCCTCTCTTGGCAGGCGCAGGGGGCGCAGATGCCAGCACTCCTGCTGGGACTGCCCCCGCTCCCCCTCCTCCCCCACCCCCAGGCTCCATGGTGGAAGGAGCCTGGGCTGTAGTCACTCAGGCCTGGGCTCCAGCCCAGCTCCGCGGCCCCCTCCACCGAGCACCGCAGCCTCCCCTCCTCGCCTGGGAGGTGGGTTCAATGCGGTGGCTTTGTCATGGGTTTGCAGGAAGAACTCAGTGAGACCAGGCATGTGCAGTGCCAGCTACAGTCAGAGGAGGGAGGGCTAGGAGCACGGGGTCTGACAGCAGGTACAGTGGCTCCTGTCCCGGCCCTGGTGACTGCGGCTGTGTGATCCTGGGCAAATCCCTTCCTCTCGGTTTCCCCACCTGTGAAACGGCACCTCTCCCCCTCGAGTTCTTGGCAGATGCCAGTGACCTCAGGAATGTGGAGCGCCCACTCAGTGCTGGCACCTCCTGGACCTCAGCAGACAGCAGGCGGGAGCCGGAGACCTGGGTCCGTGAGCCCCAGCAGCTGCCACATGGCTTCCGGCTTTGCTCGGTGGGAACAGATGCCAATGCTGAGGCAGGAAGGAGTGTCTGTTGGGGGTACACGCATTGAGGGGAGAAATTAAACATCCCTGTCCCCTCACTGGGGCCCCCAAGGTCAGGAAGAGAAGAGGCGTTGGATACGTGACCACACCCCTTTCCAAGATTCCTTTCCCTCATGGACACCCCCGCAGGGAGCCCCCAAGGACCCCCCGCCATGATGCCACCCTCCTCTCAGGAACCCGACCCCGACAGCACCAGGGTTCTCGGGCGCCACAGCTGCGTGGAGTCAGCAGCCCGGGGCCGCTCACTGGCTGCTCAGAGCCTCGGGCGAGGCACAGCGATCAGATGAGCGTTTAACGATGATGAGATCATAATTATGAGCCAACCCTCCATCACTCTCAGCGTCCTGCTGCTCTCACCCGGGCCCGGGACGGCCTCTGCCTCCCCACGCGCACGCTCACCGGTCCTCACCGCACCCCGAGCCCGGCGGCTCCCCCTGCCCCCAGGGCCCCGGGCAAGATCGGGGACACAAGGTGCAGCAGAGGCCACTGCGGGTCAAGGCCAAGGACAGTCCCGAACCAGAAGGTCTGCAGGGCTGAGGCTGCAGAGCCCTGTCCTGCAGGCAGGCGCTGCCGTAGTTCCCATTTCACAGAGGAGGAAACTGAGGCTCAGAGAGGTTAGGGCCTGCGACCACAGAGCAGGTCCACAGGAGCCAGGAATCGCAGAGCCCGGGCCGCCCTGACCCTGGGCCTGGGCTCAGCGGGTGCCGGCCGGGCCCTGACCGTTTCCGTGCGAGCTGCAAGGCGCCCAGGAGGGTCCCTGCCACAGCCCGGCCGCCTGAGCCCGGTTTCTGGCCGTTACGACGTGGCTGTGACCACAGCGGCTATCCCAGGCTGGGGGACCGGGGCTGGTCGGTGTCTCGGACCCTTACTAATCATCTGAAAAACGCTTTAGCTTTAGCTGGTTGGCTCAGTGGACAGAGCGTCGGCCGGGGACTGAAGGGTCCCGGGTTCAGTTCCTGTCAAGGGCACACACCTTGTTACAGGCACATCCCCCGCCCCATGTGTGCGGGAGGCAACCAGTGTCTCTCACATCGATGTTCTCTCTCTCCATCGCTCTTCTCCCTTCCACTCCCTCTGAAAACCAACGGGGAATCTCCTCGGTGGGGATTAGGAAGAAAACAGCCCCATCGCCATTAGGACGGTCCCCGTAGACTGTCCGCCCCTCCCCCCGCCCCAGCACACAGACTGGCATTCGCCGCCGCGTCCACACTCGCCGGTGAGCCCCGGAGCCGGCGCAGAGCGGCTGCTGCTCCGTTCAGAGCTGAGCAAACTGAGGCTCCGAGAGGCCGGCAGCGAACCTAACCCTGGATCCTAACCCTGATTCCTTCCACACCGCACCGCACCGCCCAGGCGGGCACACACCGACGCACACGTACACACACGCACACACACACGCTCACACACACACACCAACACACACGTACACACACACGCACACACACACACGCTCACACACGCACACCAACACACACGCTCACACACACACCAACACACACACACACACACACACACACACCAACACACACGTACACACACACACACGTACACACACACACCGACGCACACACCTGCTCTGCTGCTCTGGCAGGGCCCTCCCCCAACACTAGCCTGTTCTCTGCGGTCAGGACAGGGCTCCCTCCCTGTTCTCATTTGCCCTGAAGCCTGTGATTACACATTCCAGCCCCGTGCCAGCCTGGGGGGGGGCAGTCCTAGTGGGCTCCTCCAGGAACAGCCTGGCTAACTCGTGAC